CATCATAATGAGTACCGTTGTAATAAATACAAAATCCTAATTTATTCGTATCGGATTTATATCCTATATATTTTAAATGACCACCTGCTGTCCCTTTATTAAATCGATCGATTAATTCCTGTAAACTAATATTCAATGGAATATAATGTCTATTTTCTGGATTGTTGTCAAATCGGATATATGAATAGATAGGATGAGATAGAGCCATAGAAAGCGCTTGAATTTGAACTTCTCCACCCCATATTGTATCCATAGCGGTTCTTTTCAACTGTTCCTCAAATGAATACAGCAATACTTTACAAAGTGTTTGGAAATAATCGCTATTACCCACGGAAAAATTTTTGAACAAAAATCGCGAGAAACCGCGGTTTCACAAACTGCGGTAATCAATGGTTTTTCGAAACCGCGAAAGTCAGACCTTTTATGCGGCTTTGGATACCGGTGAAAACCGCGGTGTGAAATTACCGCGGTTCTTTCCGGTTTTCAAAAACCGCATAAAAGGTCTGACTTTCGCGGTTTCGGAAAACCGTTGATTACCGCGGTCTGGAAAAACCGCATTAAAGGTCTGACTTTCGCGGTTTATTCAAGCGGTGATGACCGCAGTGTACCAATACCGAAGTTTTTGGTGGTTTTAAAAAACTGAATAAAAGGTCTGACTTTCGCGGTTTCCTGGAACCGCTGAAAAACGCGGTTCCCATGACCATACCTGATTCAGGCATGATCAGACTCACCTGAACTTATGATAAAGTTCAGGTGAGCGACCCTTCAAGGGGTCTGTGGTGAACTTTAGAAGTTCCATTACCACAAAGTTACTTTGTAGTGAGAGATGGAATAAGAAAACTTATGCAAAATTTTCATGAAAATAGCGGGGCACGACATCCTCTTCGTCCTTACACATTCCATCGCGATGGTTTAAGCACCAAAAATACCGCGGTTTCTCTGCTGAAAAACGCGTTAATAAATAACGCGATTATTCGATGGCATACCGCGGTTTCTGAAACCGCTGAATGCTGAGGTATTTGCCACCGCAGTTACTAATGACTATACCGCGGTTTTATAAACCATTGAATACCGTATTATTTATCACCGCGGTTACTGATGGCTACACCGCGGTTTTA